GCAGGGAGTCGTAAAATACCGGGAGGCGACACGCCACACATTTCACGATCCGAGGATTGCCGCACTCGACCCGCGAAATTTGAAGCGTGATTGAAACGTCGTCGTCATCTTCTTTTTATCAATTGTTTTTGTTATGCTTCGAGGCCTATTCTGGATCTCCAGAGCGAAAGGTGGTTGTTTCTGATACGTACCACGCATTACCTTAGGTTGAGCCGTGGCTTTTAATTTTTTTTGGGAAGTTCACTGCTTTGGAGACGACGGAATGTCAAGGTAAGTTATTCACGAAATGTACTCAAATTTGAATTGAGTAAGTGCGAATGACAGCCTGTTTTCGGAATAGTTCTCCACTAAACACACAATGCCCATGGCCCCTTCGTGTTGTCCAAGTTCCATTCTCGGTTTGTGTGAAGTTTCGAGATGAAGATCGATGATGAACTCACCTTTCCATGGAAGGGAAAAAAAAAGTAGCATATCAAACAGAATCCATGCAGCATTTGATGCCACTATCCTCATTCTTCTGCATTCAAAGTGTTTCACATTATGGTCCATGAACTACACACAATATTTGTCATTTCTTAACTGTTCATAGCTGTTCATACTTGAAGTAACTGTGTTCTGAACACATTGTCTTCAGGAAACGTAAGGCCGAGTCGACTGACCGACTGAGCAAAGTTCTTTGCGACGAAAGTCACACTATCGGCAAATGCACTCAAGGCGAATACCCTGTATACTGCTTGATCCACGTATCACAGAAGCATACACACACACGCACGCACACACATACCATGCATAAGCCCGTCGCAAGAGAAGAACGCAAGTCTGCAAATGCACTGGATGTGCACCCACAGATTTTCTCTTATAGCAACGATAGCGAACAAGATCTGAATGAGACAGATCAAGACTTGCACCAGATAACTGTATAATCCACACAACTGGCAAAGCCATGTGAATCGACCACCAATGCACAACACACATACACCTTTGGACTTTTGGATGCCCATTGCTCCGTGCAATGATAGCATCAGGAGTTGCAGTAATTCCTGTGGCGAGTTAGATCATTGGGCCGACGCTGAAGTCCCTGCCACAGCCGCAAATGAACACTCTAGGCTTTGGCACAGCCGCACACATACACACACACACACACACACACACACACACACACACACACATACACACACATGCATGCTCGTGCAACATTCACATGTCACTGCTTCAGTTGTTTTTAGCTGAGTTATATTGTGTCTTATACAGATCTTCACTTTGGGAAAAGCTGTTGAGATGCTGGAGAGCACTTGTTGCCATGCTTGCGAAATGCCAGCACTATTGCATGCCTTCAGCTGGGCACACTTCCTGGCGTAGCAGATTTCCAAAACCTGATGCCTTGTGTAACTGTGTCCTGATAACATGCAGGAATGACTCCATCGCCTCAGTAACACTCGCCTGTCTCATTGTCAGCAGTTCGCAAATTCCATGGATTATTTCACCTTCCATAGGCCTGTACACCATGGTGGCACTGCCACTCTTACATGGATCTGCACATAGGCAAAGCAAGGGTTGAGGGCGGAGGTTTACATACAATGTCAACAATTTACATACATGTACTAGGTAAACACGTAATTTTCAGGACATGAATAAAAATCCTGTCACAGGTTCAACACTGTCACATGTCATAGTGAACAAACACGTAATTTTCAGGACATGAATAAAAATCCTGTCACAGGTTCAACACTGTCACATGTCATAGTGAACAGACAATGCACCGTGGGCAGACTCCCATTTTTCGGGTGAGTTTGGGGCGCTTAGTTTGCTACAGATTATACATTCGTGTTCACAAAGACAAGACGAGACCAAAAAATGCAGACAAGAGAATCTCACCAGTAGTCCACAGCTGAACATCTCCACAACTCAGGTCACCAAGTGGATACGTGGCGTCATCTACATCTTCCACGGTGGACTCATCACTTTGGCAGGCATCTCTGTCAAGCTCCATCATCCTTTACCCCGTCAAGGCACAAACTTAGAATCACCAAATCAACTGCTGACACTCGGACGATTCCTTGGGAGCAGGATTATTTTTTTGATTTTTGGGACCAAACAGCGAACGCGTCCTTTGTGCATGACCTGCGCCGCTTTGACCTCATGGGGATTCTATATTTTCCCTCAGCACTCGTGCCCGAGCTGAGTCAATCATCCGACGCGGTTGTGCATCTCGTGTCGCCTCCCGGTATTTTACGACTCCCTGGCGCGAAGGCCTTTCCCACTTGAGAACTGGAGGTTTGTAAGGGCCTGGTCAGACTGCGGCAAATTTTGGTTGCCTGACGAAAAAAGAACAACTTCCAGAATTTGAATCGCGATCACACTACATATGTGGGGAGAATGAAAATTCAAATTTCATTTCAAGCGTCAAGTGGTAATCTCCACGAACGACGTCAAATTCCTTCGCCTTGGGGATCGCCAACACCTTCAGTGCAATCCTTGCAACCATCCTTATGAGTTTTGTTGTTGTCCGTGGCCAATTCGCTCCTCGATATCGAGATGAAAAATCAGTGATTATCAGCGTCAAATCCTGTTTGGAGCGGAAAAGCGTGGTCCATTCTTGCTTTTTTTGGAGCGTCAACTCTTGCTTTTGCCGCTCTGGCGGCAAGTTACTATGGAGATTCGGATTATAATCCCAGGATTATTTCGTTTTTGCCGCAGTCTGACCAGGCCCTAACAGATGGCATACTTTTTCGAAACTTATGCTTTTCTCAAAAAACAAGTGCAAGTTGCTGAAATCCTTTCCATATTCTCAGGAAAAGGTCCAAAGTTGCTAACATTGCAACTTAGAATGGGAGGGTTCTTGTGCGTACAATGATGCCAAAACCACCAAAAAAGTAGCAGAAATGGCAGAAGTGCAGCGACATCAAACTCTCTAAGTATATTCTTATTGTTATTATTATAAATTCAACATCTCCTGGCTCGTCAGAAGACTGCCAATATACATGAGAAGTAGGGTGGTAGCCAACCACTGCGAACTGAATAATAAGGAGAGAAACAAAAAGAGTACTGCAAGATGAGGCATGACGAAAATGGTGAGATTATTTAGGACGAAGAAGCTGAAGCTTGAATTCCTTAATGACTGTGCATGCTTTAAGGCTAGTTGGCAGGGAAGACCAGAGAGTGCACGCAGAGAAGATAAGAGATTTCAGAAACAGGGAGGTATTGGCACGGGGTAATGAGAAGGAATGACGTGTTGACCTGGTGGACGCAAACCAGTTATACTTAGCAAAGTGTTTGGGAGCCAGGTCTAATAAGATCATGTGTACAAGGATGCAAAGATGTTGCTGGTGTCGCTCTAAGAGGGGAGATACTGAAGCTAAACTGTAGAGACGTTGGGAGGAAAATGTTTGATTTTTACGAAACAGGATTTTTAGAAGCAGACGCTGGTGTATTTCCAGAGTTTGAACAAGGGCCTGACACAGAGGTAGAATATACGACGTAAAGAACAATTTTCGGCAATGGTCATTTAAATGGTGGCCCCTTCCTGTTGTGACTATGGACAGCTTTACGCAGTGCAAATAGCCTATTGCACGCACCTTCCATCATTAAGTGGTAATGTACATAATGTTACTACCGTTGATCTATTGTGTCTCTGAAATGAGGTTGACCCAGGCACCTCTCGTATCGCAATAGTGGTCTTTGAACAACCCACTGTGACTGCCTGGTTAATAATACCATTGATTGTTTCATAATGCCATCATGAAACAATGACATGAAACATTGTATATTTTGATTCAGGAACTCATTTTGCCTGATCATTAGCGAGTCGTTATCACGTAGTGCAAAATGGAAACCGTATCACACTATAGGACCAAAAAGGGGCTGCTGTGCACGCCTTATTGACCACAATCGCAAAAAGCGCACATATGGTGATTGTGCTGTGAGACGGATAATAATGATGCCAAAATCATGGCAGTTCAAGTGCAGATGAATCATCTCTTCACAATGTAAAACCGACTCCGTAAACAACCCCACAGCCTCGTCTGTCTACTTCCATATACTGCCTCATGAAGCACCTAACCACGGCTACAAAACAACGAATATCCGAACTCGTGAGCCAAGCACCTCCTGCAACAATACCAGCACAAAAAGCCGCTACCCTCAATGAATTCTTCATTTCACAGAGCACGCTGTCCGTGGGCTATGCGGATAAGCAAACTCCATCCATCAACACCACCCCTGCCATCCTGAGCCCCTTCTAGAAATCTCTACTTCTCAAGCTGAGGTCGAAGCACTTCTTATTATATTTTATATATTATTATTTATTCTTCTTTTACTAGGGAATTCCCAACAGGCGTCAGCGCCTTTTTACAGGGAACCCTAGGTATAATTTGATGGATGAGCGAAATTCAGCTGGTGAACTTCTTCGCGGAGTTGTCACCACCAAGAGTCCAGGGTTCCACTCTACACCAAAACTGCATACTAAAAGAAGCAACTTAAGTGCTGGCACCGTCGTTACCGTCCCTCATTAACCTAGCATTCCAACCCGGAGAAATCCCCCAGTATATAATGTACTCTTCATTGTGTACTATGGTCGCACTGGCTCTATCCCTTATCTCCTAAGCTACCATCCCTCCCTCACCCCTCCCTCCCGGTGCGTCTGCCCAGTGTATTGGCAAAATTGCTAAAACAACTAAACGGAGCAGTGGAATCCCTGCCGCATTTAAAGCCTGTTAATCAGCACACAAACTAGCGCCTTTATTACTATGGGAGAAGTCCATGCTGGTGTCACATGTGGGGTTGATATATTGCAAGCCAAACAGAATGCAATTCACATGTCAGTGTACAAAAAACATTCCATCTCAAAGAACGTAGGTGGTACTGGTTCTAGACGTAGCTGTGCTCCAGAAACTCAATTTCTCAAAACTACTTGTATGTCAATTTAGTGGATTTGCGTCGTATTGGCGGGTCCATAAATAGCACTTACTTGAACAAGATGGCACAGGTGATGTGAATAGACCGCCATTTCCACAAGTGATATTCTTATGCGAGGTAGATTGTGATTGACCGGTAATGTAGTAACCAGCATCACATTGTACATTCACTGTTATTCCGCGGAGAACAGTAGTTCCAGGGTAGACCACTCTTAATCGAAGAATGTGATGTGGAACAGTGCAATATATCTCTGAAAGGAAATGTACCAAACGCTATTATTAATACACACACACTGTCGTCTCTACGTATAGAGCGACTGCCATTGAAATATCTATCATAGGGGATTGCGTGGGCGGCTTTTGAGGACTTTAGACAGTATGTCATGCATTCTCTCATGGATGCGCTTTGTCAGGAGTTCACACAACTTGTCAGGATTTGTCTTCTCAGTCAAGGTTAAGGTCAAGGTCAAGGTAGGCGGAAAGACGTGGCCCGTTAGCATGCTGGTATCGCAAGACAGCCAGCTTTTCTTCTTTTTATAAACTTTTTTGTTAAGCCTCTTATACGGGCAACCACAGAACACGATTTCACTGGCCTGACGCAACAACTAAAGAAAAGCTAAAAATTGCGACAGAGCTTTCGGCCATATTTCCGATTTTTCGCATTCCCAACTCGTCACAACCACACGCTCTCAGCCGAACCATACAGACAAGTACATGTACTTTCCAGTGGCATCATTATTCCGCGTAAGATTTGCGTCACCTGTGTGGTGTGTTACTCCACCAATGAGGGCGTACAATAGTCCTTCTCGCTGTTCTCACATTCACGATTTTAGCAGCTTGCATATGCCATTGTTCTATGTGGAAAATGCGCACTTGCACCATTTCTGCTGTACAAGAATGATCATTCCTTTACACTCCATTATCATCCCCTACTGATGAGCTCCAGCAGGGAGCGAAACAGCTGTCTAGAGGCGTGAAAAAATATTGTCTCCCAACGGAAGAGTCCTTGCTGGTGTCGGTATGGTTCGGCTGACAGCGCGTGCTTGTGACGAGTTGGGAATGAAAAACAAACAAACAAAAAAACAAACAAAAAAAACAACAATATGTTTAAGGAAATGAAACTTTACCATCTGCACACAATGACAACTGCAGTTAAGATAGTCTCTGTTGATCAGTCTGTATCCGTTACCCATATAGGCTAGTTGCCATCAAGGCGGGCATGGGCGACAGGAACATCTGGAGAGGCGTCATCCATCCCCCTATGCTAGGGAAATGGTAAGCGGGCCAACCGCAGACACATGATAATAGCACGCAGTATCAGTCAGCTTTTCTTGGGGTGCTGTGAGTGGGCTGGCGTGTTAGCATCCATAGATCGCACTGCCATGTTTGCATTTTCCATGCACCGTTATGTTAGTTCTTTGGTTCTATTGGCATATCTTTTTTTGGTATGGTATGGTATTTCCAATACAAGCCTATCTGTGCTCGCGTGTAAGCAGCAGTCATCGGAGTTTGAGACCACAATCGGCACCCCACAGGGCGACTGCCTATCTCCAGTTCTTTTTGTCATTTACTTGGAATCAGCGCTACGTGATCTCAGGGCCACTTTACCTCCCAGGCTGCCAGCTGATGAACTCTTGCCTGGGGAAGTTATCTATGCAGATGATACGGATTTTCTGAGCAGCTCGCGGACATGGTTGGACAGTATCAGCCCGAGCATGAATGAGGTCCTCAGAGAATGTCATCTCAAAGTGAACGAAGAGAAATTAGAGCAAACAACACTACGCAGAGAAGGGGATCGTCTAGCGGAAGTCTGGAGAAAGACACGTAAGCTTGGGTCACTTCTGGGTAATGAACAAGACGTGACCAGCAAGAAGCAGCTCGCAACAGTAGCTTTCAGGTCACTCTCTGTTGTCTGGTGTCGACGAGCGTTTATTAGTGAGAAGCTGCGCTTGAGGCTCTATCAGGCGTTTGCCGTACCAGTACTGACCTACAACGGCGGAACATGGGGCCTGACGGTGACTTTGGAGCAGAGTCTCTATTCCTTCCACCGTCAGCAACTGCGATCACTCCTTGGCATTAGTTGGCCTCAGAAGATCACGAATGTCTCTTTGTACGCCAGGTGCAAAGCTGAGCCAATCACCAACATTCTCAAGCGTGTGCGGTGGCAACTCTTAGGTCACATTCTTCGCTTGCCGGAGGACACCCCAGCATCACTGGCAACGGCGGCGCACGATGAGAAGGCCTGGCGAGGACGCCCACGTGTCACATTTGTCACGAAGCTGTCGGAAGACCTGGCGAAAACGAATAATGGAGGGCTTGCGTCACTTGGTGACTTGCAGCGCCTCCGGATCCTTGCAAGTGACCGTGCAGGGTGGAGAGGACTCTGTGCTGTCGTATGTTCCTCTTGACTGGATTACACAGAACAGATATATATGATGTTTTTTTGATTTATGTTTTTGGCAGAGCATTCTATTTCCGGCATATGCGAATATGTGGGTTGCCATTGTGCGGCTGACATTGCCGCGGAAATGCAGATAATAATAATGTATAATGGTATTGATCTATTTGAATTTGGTATCTCAACAGTACAATGTACAACTTGGGAAGATCCCCTTCCTTCTCTCCGCGTGGTCGCGGCTTCTTTTTCAAGTAGGGGTGGAATGTTAGGTTCACGTATCCATGTGTGCACGCACTCACCCACCAATGACCTCTTCCCCCCCCCCCCCTCACGTATGCACACAGGCACTCATACACACATTACTGCATGCGTCCTTTCCCATTCCCGCTTCACGAATCGTTCCCCTGGGATGTCCCCAAGTACGCAGACTCTGGTCTGCGCCGCTGTCAGACGAAAGGTGCTAGCGCTTCTCTGCCGCCGATGCGTGCGGGTCGTCGCTTCCGTCCGTCATGGCCATCACCGCGCTGGCCGTCTGCGTGATGGAGTGGAACGATTCGTGGTGCTGATTTTGGTAAAAAAGTTGAAATCACTTCCTAAGGTATAATTTCTTCAGTCGATGGCTCAAATAGCACTTACGTGAACAAGATGGCACAGATGGTGTCCATTTACCGCCATTTCCACACGTGATGTCCTTCCGCGGGGTAGATTGTGATTGACCGGTAATGTAGTAACCAGCATCACATTGTACATTCACTACTATTCCGTAGTGAACAGTAGATCCAGGGTTGGTCACTCTTAATCCACCAGTCTGCCTTGGAACGGTGCAATGTATGTCTGAAAGGAAACGTACAGAACGCTTTGTTCATACTCACTCACAGTTGTCTAGAGGTTTAGAGCGAATAACGCTGAAAGTTCCATCCCAAGTGATTGCGTGACCGGGTTTTGAGGACTGTAGACAGTAGATGGTGCATTCTCACATGAATGCTCTTTGTCACAAGTTCACACAACTAATCAGGATTTGCGCCATTTATGTCAACGCCAGGCATATCAGATATGATAAGGTTCAGCATTATTAGCAAAACTGCTAAAACAACCAAACGGACCAGTGGAATCCCTGCCACATTTTTTGCCTGTCAATCAACGCACAAACTAGCGATATAATTACTTTGGGAGAAGTCCATGCTGGTCTCACATGTGGGACTGATACATTGCAAACTGAACAGAATGCAATTCACACATCTGTGCGCCAAAACATCCCCTCTCAAAGAACGTAGGTGCTACTGGTTCTAGACCTAGCTGTGCTCCAGAAACTGAATAATTCAAAACTATTTCAATGTAATGGGTATACGTCGTATTGGTGGGTCCATCAATAGCATTAAAGTGAACAGTGCTAAGAGACCTCAAAATCAGGAGAGAGTTGAGAATGTCGAGCGTGCCTTAGCACCTTTGGATGCTTTCGGCCATATTTCCGATTTTTCGCATTTCCAACTCGTCACAACAACACGCTCTCAGCCGAACCATACAGACAAGTACATGTACTTTCCAGTGGCATCATTATTCCGCGTAAGATTTGCGTCGCCTGTGTGGTGTGTTCCTCCACCAATGAGGGCGTACAATAGTCCTTTTCGCTGTTCTCACATTCACGATTTTAGCAGCTTGCATATGCCATTGTTCTATGTGGAAAACGCGCACTTGCGCCATTTCTGCTGTACAAGAATGATCATTCCTTTACACTCCATTATGGTTGGACCATGGGGTGACGGCCATGGATGGAGGTTCCTCCTCGGATCCTCCACAACAGTCTGCACAACGGTTTGGGCTAAACAATGAGTTTAGGGTCGCTACATTCAACGTACGAGGACTCACTGCGCCATGGAAGAGGCACTCGCTCGAACGAGACCTCAAGCGGTATCGAGTTGATGTTTGTGCAGTCCAAGAAACAAAAATTTGTGAAGCAAATTGTACCGTGTTACCGCTGGGGTACCGGCTCATAACGTTCGCTCAGGACCATGGATATCAGCGAGGAGTAGGCATTGTCGTCGCTCCTCGTCTGGACCCGTTCCTGTCAAGATACTGGAGCGTTGGTGAGAGAATTGGTGTTGCGGAATTTGTTTTCCCTTGCAACAAAAATAATAGTAATTGTAAACCAACTCACAACACGGTACGTGTCATAAGTGCATATGGCCCTACCGCTGTTTCCTGTGAAGAGAACCCATCGCTGAGAGAGGAGTTCTACAGCGCCTTGTCGACTGTATGGAAAGATACAACGAGAAGCGGAGTTCTATGCTTCATCGCTGGAGACTTCAACAGCAAAGTTGGAATTCGTAAGAGAGCTGATGAAAGTAAATGGCTAGGCTCCTTCAGCAGAGGCGCCAGAAATGATAACGGACAACACATGTTGGAATGGTCAATTGAAAATGATGCCTTCTTGGCCAATACAGCTTTTCAACACCGCCAGAGCCACCGCACTACATGGACGGGTTGGCGGCGACCTGGGAGTGGAGAAGTTGGCCCACAACCTGTCTACAACCAGATCGATTTTGTTCTTTGCCGTACGCAACACAAGCCACTGCTGTGTAATGCACGTAGCTATGCAGGCTGCGAGACACCAACGGACCACAGAATAGTCATTGCCACACTGCAGCTTCGTGCGTTATTTCCAATCTGGCGGAAGGGAAACCAGACAACTAAGCGTAGCTTCAACACCTCGATGTTTACTCAGAACCCCCAGGTCTGTAGTCAATTCCAGGAGGAGGTAGACAAAGCACTGGCAACGCAACAAACGCAGCAGGGAACTGTTTCAGCTGAGGCACGTTTCGGAGGTGTGAGGGACGCACTGGAGTCGGCTGCAACAAAAACAGTTGGATATAAAAAGAGAGCCGAATGTAGCCGAAAAGCCCATGATCCTGGCATAGCCCTTCTATCAGCCCAACAAAAAGAACTGCGGGTAAAAATCGACTCGACAAAATGCCCAGACGGGAGGAAATCACTGAAACGCGATCGGAATCAGATATTACACCAGATACGAGATATCGCCCGGAACAACTCTGAAGCCCGCCTGGACTCCTTCGCTCAAGAAGTAGAGAAGCTGAAAAACAATGCAAGGGTCTTCCAAGCAGCCTCTTTGCTGCGGCGGCAGTCTCCCGCGCCATTGGTTGTTCATGACGCTCTTGGACGGATAATCGCCAACGATAAAGAAGCGGCAGAGAAGGTAGCTGACCACTTCAGGCAGCAGTTTCGGGATCCATCCGCAGTAAATGATATTCTGAGACCGCTGGGCTCGAAGTATCTTGAAGATAGGATCAGCGCTGCGGAGGTTGCCCTGGCAATTAGATTACTGAAATCGCAGAGGGCAGCTGGGCCGGATGGCATCCCCGGGGACCTGTTCAAGCATGCTGGTGAGAGGGTCGCACATGAGATCGCTGCCATTCTAAACCAATGTTTTGCGGATGGCAGTGGAATGGATCTTGGATGTGGAACACTAATCCCGCTCCCGAAACCAGGGAAACCCAGAGGGCCGCTAACCAGTATCAGGCCAATAATACTCTTGAACTCTATACGCAAATGCCTGTCAACAATCACACTTCGCAGGATTATGCCAAAGATTGACTCCTACCTATCTCCAACCCAGAGCGCTTCCCGTCCGGGTCGGAGTACCGCGGATATTGTCTGGTGTGGCCGGTGGCTGGCAGCCAAGGCTGAACGTTTCAAGTGGCAATGTACGGTCCTCGGAATGGATATGAGCAAGGCGTTCGACACAGTGCAGCGGGGAAGATTGGTGGAGGTAATGAAACAAATAGTTAACACAGATGAGGTACGAATGGTGGAGATGTTGTTGCACAACACAAGGCTAAGAGTGAAGATAAAGAATGCGCTCTCGGCAGAATTTCCAACATCAATAGGCATCCCACAAGGAGATAGTTTGTCGCCGGTGCTATTCACCTGTTATCTCGAAGCGACAATGCGTTGCCTGCGTCCCAGGATATCGCCAAGACCTGCCATACTGAATATTGGAGGGACAGCCTACACGACTGTCGATATGTCCATACCTTGCGAAACAGCATACATGGACGACGTTAACCTGTACTCCACGGACCGTCAACATCTAGCGTGCGCACTAACAGAGGCAGAGGTAGTGTTCAAAGAGTGGAACCTCAATATCAACCCTACCAAGACCGAGTGGACCCATCTATACCAAGAAGAGGATGTTGCAAGAAGAGGTGAGGAACGATGGAGGTCCACCCGGTTGCTTGGTTCACTGTACGGAGTCACAGAAGACCTCAAGCGCCGGCGCCAGCAAGCCGCAGCTGCCTTCAACACACTTGTCAACCTGTGGATGCGGAGACAAGTTATCTCTGAAGCAACCCGCCTGAGGTTGTTTGATGCATTTGTGCTATCTATTTTGACCTACAACTGCGGCGTGTGGGTGCTTTCATCCCGGGATGCTACAGCAATGGATGCGTTCCACAGAAAGCAGCTCCGCCGTCTATTAGGGATATCTTACCCGGAAATTATCTCCAACACAGACCTATATGCCCGCTGCAATGCCGAGCCAATATCCGTACTAAGCAGAAGAGCACGGTGGAAACTGTTTGGTCATGTTCTACGCCTCCCTGAAGCAACTCCAGCGCAGGTGAGCATGACAGCGTATTTCCAGCGACAGAATCGGGGCTGGCTCGGACGCCCGCGCATCACCCTACCAGTGGTGATAGACAACGAATTAGCTAAGACAACGTCCATGCGTCTCCGGAGTCTGAAGGACCTGGAGACACTGCGTTTGGTGGCTCGGAACAGGCAATCATTCAACGATATAATCGCACAGGTCACATTGTAGAGTGCAGATCACCTAGTGCTTTCAACAATAATAACGTACTTCCACATTATGGGAATTTGGTATAACCCCACACCCGTCATTGTTGAATATTCGATAATAGCGTGGATTTCCCCAACAATAATTATATTTTCACTTTTTGTTATCCTCTCCCATGCCGTTGTACATAAGCGGCTTGCCGCGGATATGTCAATACTACTACTACTATCATCCCCTACTGATGAGCTCCAGCAGGGAGCGAAACAGCTGTCTAGAGGCGTGGAAAAAATTATCTCCCAACGGAAGAGTCCTTGCTGGTGTCGGTATGGCTCGGCTGACAGCGCGTGCTTGTGACGAGTTGGGAATGAAATAAAACTAAAAAAAAGGAAAAAAGAACAAACAATATGTTTAAGGAAATGAAACTTTACCATCTGCACACAATGACAACTGCAGTTAAGATAGTCTCTGTTGAGCAGTCTGTATCCGTTACCCATGTAAGCTAGTTGCCATCAAGGCGGGCATGGGCGACAGGAACATCTGGAGAGGCGTCATCCATACCCCTATGCTAGGGAAATGGTAAGCGGGCCACCCGCAGACACATGATAATAGCACGCAGTATCAGTCAGCTTATCTTGGGGTGCTGTGAGTGGGCTGGCGTGTTAGCATCCATAGATCGTACTGCCATGTTTGCATTTTCCATGCACCGTTATGTTAGTTCTTTGGTTCTATTGGCGTATCTTTTTTTGGTATGGTAGGGTATTTGCAATACAAGCCTATCTGTGCTCGCGTGTAAGCAGCAGTCATCGGAGTTTGAGACCACAATCGGCACCCCACAGGGCGACTGCCTATCTCCAGTTCTTTTTGTCATTTGCTTGGAATCAGCGCTACGTGATCTCAGGGCCACTTTACCTCCCAGGCCGCCAGCTGATGAACTCTTGCCTGGGGAAGTTATCTATGCAGATGATACGGATTTTCTGAGCAGCTCGCGGACATGGTTGGACAGTATCAGCCCGAGCATTAATGAGGTCCTCAGAGAATGTCATCTCAAAGTGAACGAAGAGAAAATAGAGCAAACAACACTACGCAGAGAAGGGGATCGTCTAGCGGAAGTCTGGAGAAAGACACATAAGCTTGGGTCACTTCAGGGTAATGAACAAGACGTGACCAGAAGGAAGCAGCTCGCAACAGCAGCTTTCAGGTCACTCTCTGTTGTCTGGTGTCGACGAGAGTTTATTAGTGAGAAGCTGCGCTTGAGGCTTTATCAGGCGTTTGCCATACCAGTACTGACCTACAACGGCGGAACATGGGGCCTGACGGTGGCTTTGGAGGAGAGTCTCGATTCCTTCCACCGTCAGCATCTGCGATCACTCCTTGGCGTTAGGTGGCCTCAGAAGATCACGAATGTCTCTCTGTACGCCAGGTGCAAAGCTGAGCCAATCACCAACATTCTCAAGCGTCTGCGGTGGCAACTCTTGGTCACATTCTTCGCTTGCCGGAGGACACCCCAGCATCACTGGCAATGGTGGCGTACGATGAGAAGACCTGGCGAGGACGCCCACGTGTCACAATTGTCACGAAGCTGTAGGAAGACCTGGCGAAAACGAATAATGGAAGGCCTGTGTCACTTGGTGACTTGCAGCGCCTCTGGATCCTGGCCAGCGACCGTGCAGGGTGGAGAGGACTCTGTGCCGTCGTATGTTCCTCTTGACTGGATTACACAGAACAGATATATATGATGTGATTTGATTCGTGTTTTTGGCAGAGCATTCTATTTCCGGCATATGCGAATATGTGGGTTGCCAAATGTGCGGCTGACATTGCCGCGGAAATGCAGATAATAATAATATATAATGGTATTGATATAATAATTTGAATTATCTCAACAGTACAATGTACAACTTGGGAAGATCCCCTTCCTTCTCTCCGCGTGGTCGCGGCTTCTTTTTCAAGTAGGGGTGGAATGTTAGGTTCACGTTTCCATGTATGCACGCACTCACCCACCAATGACCTCCCACCCCCCCCCCCCCACACGTATGTACACAGGCACTCATACACACATTACTGCATGCACCCTTTCCCATTCCCGCTTCACGAACCGTTCCCCTGGGATGTCCCCAAGTACGCAGACTCTGGTCTGCGCCGCTGTCAGACGAAAGGTGCTAGCGCTTTTCTGCCGCCGATTCGTGGGGGGTCGTCGCTTCCGTCCGTCATCGCCATCACCGCGCTGGCCGTCTGCGTGATGGAGGACATCTCAGTGGAACGATTCATGGTGCTGATTTTGGTAAAAAAGTTGAAATCAGGTCCTGAGGTATAATTTCATCAGTCGATGGCTCAAATAGCACTTACGTGAACAAGATGGCACAGATGGTGTCCATTGACCGCCATTTCCACACGTGATACGCTTCCGCGTGGTAGATTGTGATTGACCGGTAATGTAGTAACCAGCATCACATTGTACATTCACTACTATTCCGTGGAGGACAGTAGATCCAGGGTTGGGCACTCTTAATCCACCAGTCTGCCTTGGAACAGTGCAATGTATGTCTGAAAGGAAACGTACAGAACGCTATATTCATACTCACTCACAGTTGTCTAGAGGTTTAGAGCGAAAAACGCTGAAAGTTCCATCCCAAGTGATTGCGTGACCGGGTTTTGAGGACTGTAGACAGTAGGTGGTGCATTCTCACATGAATGCTCTGTGTCACAAGTTCACACAACTAATCAGGATTTACGCCTTTTATGTCTGCTCGGTCAGAGTTACAGAGGTAGGAGGAAAGACGGGACCAATTAGCATGCTGGTATCGCAAACAGGTCTGCTGCTCTTGAGAGACTGTGAGTGCTCTGATCTAGAGGGGCTTGTTGCGGCTGATGTAACGCCAGGCATATCAGATATGATAAGGTTCAGCATTATTAGCAAAACTGCTAAAACAACTAAACGGATCAGTGGAATCCCTGCCACATTTTTTGCCTGTCAATCAACGCACAAACTAGCGATTTAATTACTTTGGGAGAAGTCCATGATGGTTTCACATGTGGGACTGATTATATTGCAAGCCAAGCAGAATGCAATTCGCACATCAGTTTACCAAAACATTCCATCTCAAAGAACGTAGGTGGTACTGGTTCTAGACCTAGCTGTGCTCCAGAAACTGAATAATTCAAAACTATTTCAATGTAGTGGGTATACGTCGTATTGGTGGGTCCATAAATAGCATTTAAGTGAACAGTGCTAAGAGACCCCAATATCAGGAGAGAGTTGTGAATGCCGACCGTGCCTTTACACTTTTGGTGTTTTCCGTGAATGGGGCAGCTGCGCTGGCATCCACGGCCTTCCTCAGGCGCCTTTGCCTGCTCACGTCTCAATCTTCGGGAGGTAGCCATTCGTCGTTGATGGGATATTATCGCTGTTGGGTGTCTTTCGCGCTGCTACGTTCTGCTGTATTGTGTGTCCGGGGTGCTCGGTCGGCCCGTCACCGTCCAGTTCACATGCTTCGTGAGTTGTCGATGGTGGAGGGTCAGGTTCCCCTCCCGTGATTAGTGCTGCACCGAGCTTGTTTTGTGTGAAAGTATATTATATTATTCTTATTTTTATAAAGTTGATTGTTCCTTCTAGGAACAAACTTATATACTGCTCTCTAGGCCAAACCATCACCAGGGATACAAACTTACAGAGACACTTTGTTTCCAGCGCGACAAACACCTCGTGAAGCTCCAGGTAGCAGCGTGAATCAGAGGGAGTGATGCTTTCTTGTAGGATACCATCCCTCGTCAGTAGTTTTGAGGGCAGTTAGCTTTTTCGAGCTCCGTAGTTTTGGCAGGTTTTGTAGTAGCCAGCCGGCAGCAGGCCGGTCTGGAGAAGTGTAGGTACTAGATTGTTAAACACATGTAGGTAGTAGTTAGTTAGAGAAGCGTATACGTGTGTAGTATGGCTGCAAATATGTCTGCAAAAGGTAGTTCTAGCCTAAGCCGCGGTTCAGACACCCCTACCGCTTTGGAGTCACGTCGGAGGAAGGCAATCACCCCTCCCGCTGCCCTGGGCACAGCTACAGGAGGTTCGTACAGTGCCTCGTTGTCTTCAGGAAATCATGAGGCCCCCGTGGACATGATGAAGGAATTTAGGACGTGTATGTCCCAGTTGTTGACACAGGTTGCAGACCTAACCACGGAGGTGACAGCTCTGAAGACAAGATTTGGTGATCTGGAGCGGGAAAAGACGAACCTTGCCGCCACGGTACGGTTTTTAACAGACGACGCCAGCAATAGTAGTACAGCAGTGCAAGGCGGACCAGTTGGTTTCACCATTGACCTTGGACGCGGCAAATGCAGGACCGGTAGTTCAACTCGAACCATACAACCTCTCCGACATCATTGCAGAGGAGGTGTAACCGTCACACCTTCTTCTGCTTTCCTATCACTGCACACCTATGTACGCGCCTATCACTGCACACATATGTACGCGCCTGTCACTGCACACCTATGTACGCGCCTATCACTGCACACCTATGTACGCGCCTATCACTGCACAGCTTGTGCGCGCCTATCATTTGCACACCTTGTGCAACTTCTAGCACTTACTGTTCACGGCTAACCTTTGCACCTGTTATTCTACTTAGTGTATAAAACTGCTTTCATTATTTTTTATTATACATATTTGAGGATTTCCAAAAGACGTAGTCTAAATTGAAGGGAGTTCCATTATAATGGGAGGCTGTAGGGTTGAGATAGCAGACAGTGAAGGGCTAATGATTCGTAATGAACAGCCTAGCCAGAGAAATACAACTATGCTGAATGTTCCAGAATGGTCCTTAAACTCAATAATACCTATAGCCTCGGGTATGCCTTGAAATACGAAATATACCAAAACAGAAACACAAAAATTAATAAGAATAAGCGCAACGCTCAAAGAAGGAGGACAGAGGCATGTCAGTGAGGAGTGGCATTGTGTTTGGTGTCAGAGAAGTGCGTGCAAATGTGACGGTGAAACAGGGACTGCGAGGCTGTGGCTCTCAGGTCTGCGGGCAAGGTATTCCAGACAGTAGCGGTGCGGAGGAGAAATGACCTCCCGGCGTGTTTCCCAACCCGTGGCAGAGTAAATGCGAGTTGGCGGCGGCGACCACCCCAGCTGTTTAAACAATGATGACTTGAGCTCGTCTGATGGGCAAGGGCATCTCTCAAGCCGCATGACTGTGCGAGCTACTCTGGCTTGCAGCCGTTCAAGGGTGAGCCGCTGTGCAGCAGAGAGGGAGGACTCCCATACTGGGGCGGCGTACTCTGCAGTGGGGCGGACATACGTAAGGTACAGCTTCCTGACGATGTCTCCTGTTAAATGGTCAGCCACATGGCACAGAAGAACGCAGCGCTGTCTAAACTTGCTGATTGTCTGTTCAATATGCTCCTGGAAGCTAAGTGTTTCACTCAACAACACTCCCAGGTGACGGTGACTGGTGGACGGCTGGATACCGCGGATGGTCTCTGCAGCTCCTTCCTCAGCGAATGAGATAACAACGGTTTTCGGTGGGTTGAAGGTTCTGCCTACTCGGTCGGCCCAGGCAAATGTGTCCTGCAGGGCAATCTCCATTGGGCTGGTACCTTTGGTTCGTGCTTGGCCGACGGCGGTATCATCCGCGAGCAGGTAAACATCAGCGTGCTGGTTGCGTTTCGAGGCACTGGGTAGGCTGTTGATATGTACCAGGAAAAGCAATGGCCCGAGGTGGGAACCCTGGGGTCCTCCAGACTTGACGGGACGTGTGGAGGACAGATGGTGTTGGACGCGGACGCTGAATGTACGCGTATCGAGGTAGTTCTTAAACCAACTCGTAGCCGGAGCATCGCAGATAGTCCGAGTTTCTGGAGAAGCACGTCATGCGGCACTTTATCGAAGGCCTTCGCAAAATCGAGAAATGCAGCATCGTAAGGGATGCGTTTATCCATGGTCGAGGCGATCTTAGTAGTTAGCAGTATCAGCTGGTCAACTGTGGAGCGATCACGGACAAAAGCCGAACTGTTCCGGGACAATGATGTGGTTGACCTCGAGAAAGTGACCGAATTTGGTGGCGACAATCTTGTCTAGTGCTTTCGCAATAGCTGGGAGTAGGGTCAGAGGGTGGTAGTTGGAGGGATCACATGGGTTACCTTTATTTTTAAATATGGGGATTACTGTTCCCAGCTTCCAGGCACTAGGAAACTCACCTTAGGTGAGGCTAGCGTTAAACAGGTTGGTAACAGAGGACGTTATACATGGTGCGATCTCTCGGAGGATCCTGTTCGAGATGTTCCCGCCTGTTGCCTTATGCTGCGGGAGCATTCGGAGCACCCAGTACACTGAGGATTCGGCCAAAACTGGGAGAGGTAATAATTCATTCGGACAACCGTCGGCTGGTGCTGGTATTGGACCTGTACCGTGAGCAAGAGTGCACTGGCGCTCAAATACCTTCGCGAGAATTTCTGCTTTCTCTGGCTCGCTCTGTGCCGTTTAGCCCTCACCCGTTAGGTCAGGAACTTTATCTTTCTTGCAGGAGATGTTGGCAAGTGTCTTGGCTTTCTTCCACCAAAGCCAAGGTGGGCATCTTGCTCATCGTGAATATTCTCACTGAGGCGCTTGAAGTACAGGGTCTTGGCATTTCTTAACTGACTCTGATATGCATTCCTCTGGGCCTTGTAGGTTAACCAGTATGCTACTGTTTGGTGGCGCTGCTTCTGGCGATGAAGGTGATGCAGATGTGGGGTGAACCAGGGCTTGGTTTGCTGTCTGCGAGATGAAACTCGTCTGTACGCTAAGCACCTGGCAATGGCTTGTGTGATGCATGACTCCAAGAGTCCATAACCCCCCAGAGTGTGCAACTCGTGATCCTTCCCAGCACAAATCAGTGCCGCAACGAAATCCAAACTTCATACGTCATGTAGTGAGTAGCTATGACGAAATGGGAAGTTTGGCCCGGACCTACTTCGCCCGTTTGCCCAATTTGGGGTCTTTCTTTACGAATCCACGGTCAGGTATTGTACGTAACACGCCTGGAAAGGCTCAAGTACACAAAGAATTATTTTAGAGTTGTCGAACAGTTTTCTCTTTTGAGTGTCTCTCCGATAAGAGAAGAACAATGGCCACTGTTGAACCTAAAGCAAAGCGCTCCCCATTGTCGCCGGAGTGCAGTGTCTCTGTGGACGATATTCGTCAGTTTTTGTTCGATCTGGGCTCCTCATTTTCTTCTCTCGATTGTCGAGTGTTGGAAATTGTTAATTCTTCCAGCACCTGGATAGAGATTTATTGCTCGAAGTCTGTGCTTCTCACATGCAATGGAACACCCGTCAATTTGAACCGTATGGTTGTGAACCCAGCAGGAACATTCACTGTAGGTTGAAGCACATCTACTTCGAAATCGATCGGGTCTTCATGCCGTGTGCCAAGAGCTATTTCCATCAAATCTTGTAAATCTATATCCATGCCTATTCTTGCTATCCCGGAGTCACGAACTCTCCCAATACAAGCTTTTCAGACAACGAGCAGAGAAACTCTCTTCAAATAAAAAAATTCTGTGACTGTCAAA